CTTCCATTAGGATTTGAAAAGGTGTGGTGACAGGAAATCCTTGCCTTGTTCCTCATCTTAGTGGGAAAGCTTCATGTTTCTCACCATTAAGTATGATGTTAACTGTGGGTTTTTTGTAGCAATTCCTTATCAAGTTGAGGAAGTTCTATTCCTAGTTTACTAAGAGTTTTTACTCTGAATGGCTGTTGGATTTTGTCAGTCGCTGTGTCTATTGACATGATTGTGTGATTTTTTTGTTTTTATCCTGTTGATGTGATGGATCACATTAATTGATTTTAAAATGTTGAATCAGCCTTGCATTCCTGGGATAAATTTCTACTTGTTCATGGTATGCAATTGTTTTATATGTTGTTGAATTTGATTTGCTAATGTTTTGTTTAGGATTTTGCACCTATGTTCATGAGAGATATTGGGCTCTAAGTTCCTTTCTTGTAATACCTGTCTGGTTTTGGTATTAGGGTATTGCTGGCCTCATAGAATGAGTCTTTCTTCTGCTTCTATCTTCTCAGAGGGATTGTAGGGAATTGATATTATTTCTTCCTTTAATATTTGGTAGTTCATCAGTGAAGTAATCTGGGCCTGGTGCTTTCTGTTTTGGAAGGTTATTATATTATTCAAATAATTATTTGAATTATTTCTTCAAATTCTGTATTAGATGTATACTTATTCAGGTTGTCTTTCTTCTGTGTGAATCTGGCAGATTGTATTTTTCAAGAAATCGGTCCATTTCACCTAGATTATCAAATTTGTGTGTGTAGAGTTTCTCATTTATTCCTTTATTATCCTTTTAATGTTCATGATATCTATAGTACCGAAGAAACTGGCACAGATAATAGTGAGAGGCCATAAAATAAAGAAGTGGTGAGTTTTCAGGATTTATTACTTTTGTTTTTAATTTACTTATTTATAAGCTTATATAATTTAATTTTTAATAATGGCTGTATTTTAACAATTTGATTGCAAAACTCTTGAAAAGTTAACGATTGGTTCTTGCTAGCTGCTAAAACTTGGTTCCAGCACACTGCTTCTCAGTGGGGGAAATACTAAAACTATTTCCTTTAAAATCAGAAAGAACACTTTAATAGGCATCACTGCTTCTGTTGAACATTGCACTAAGATTTCACCTGAAGAAAAAAAAATGTATGTATATATCAATTTTTTTTAAAATAGAAGCTGAAATATTGTTTTATAATTTTAGTGTAATGCTTGTATTTTTTGGCAGGATAAACAATAAGCTATTGATTAAAATGGCATTATAATAGGTACAAATACTGAGACAAGGTCTGAGTATTTCATAAATACATGTTTATTACAAAAGCATGCACAGAGGATAGCCCTAGCAGTCTGAAGTGAATCATATGTGAAACATGAACCATTGTGGTGTGTTGCTTTTTTCTATAAAACATATTACAATGCCTCAGTTCTTAAGCTTCTCTGAGAACCTAACCTTGAGTACATTTGAAATTTTGAAAGAGTAAGTGCCTTTCAAAATTGAGATTATTTCATAGATTCATTTCTTATTAATATGAGTGGATATTATGAAGAGAAATAAAATTGCTTTAGCCTATTTAACTGTATTACTCTATTTTCATATGTTAATTCTTATAAGCTTATTATCTGTGCTCTGCTTGGTTTGCCCCTGATAAACTGCTGTTTTTTCCAGTTGTTTTGCCGTATCACTTGTTGAAAACAATTATTTATGAATAAGTCTTATAGTTTTAAATCATTTCAGGGGTCATGTGTTTTGGGATAGAAATATTATTTATCAGAGTAATGATAAAATATTCATTTAGTGGGATTCAAATATTTTATAATGGTGTCAGAAAATGAAAATTAAATTAGGTCTTAACACTTTCTACTCTAGGAATCTCGGCATAAAATTTAGACATTTCAGATTGAAAACAGCAGTGAATGGGGATTTTGGATGTAATCTGCATCTTCCCCTTTCCTGGATGGAACTTTGCCAGGAACACAATGAACACACAGAAAACCCTGTTCACATACAGAGCCGCTCCTTTCCAGTACCATACCGGATATGGCATCCTAGTATTTGACCACACGCATTCTCAAATTTAACTATGTTGGAGTAAATCAGAACAACTGATTTTAAAGCTTCTAAGTTATGGTTATGAAAAATTATCAATTTTTAAAAACTTTTATAAAATTGTTTCTCAAAAACAAAAGCTACTTCTCTCTCTCTCTCTCTCTCTCTCTCTCTCTCTCTCTCTCTCTCTCATTTCTTTCCTTTTTTAAAAAATTAAACTTTGGGGCCAGCCAAGTGGCTCAGTTGGTTAATAAGAGCACGAGCTCTGAGGAACAGGGTCTTCAGTTTGATTCCCACATGGGCCAGTGAGCTGCACCCAAGCTGAGCTGCTGGTGAGCTGCCAACAGGTGGCAGGATGGCTCAGCTGGTGAGAGCACGTGTTTCTAACAACAAGGATGCTGGTTTCACTCCCACATGGGATGGTGGGCTATGCCTACCCGCAGCTAAGATTGTACATGGCATCTTGGGCTGAGCTGCCCTGAGCTGCCTATGGATGGCCAGATGGCAACTGGACTTGGAGTTGAGCTAGCTGCGCCCTCCACAACTAAGATTGAAGGACAACTTAGCTGTTCGCCTCCCCCAATTTCCCAACACTGTACCCCTTCCCCAAAACCCCAATAAAATAATTTAAAAAAAATAAAGTTTATATGTCTTTTCAGGAAAGAATAAAGAATGACAATGTGGTTTGTGACTGAACCGTGCCTTCTATATCTCTCTATGGGAAAAATATCCTTATAGAATATTTTGAGGGAACTTTTAATATGTGAGGACTTGTTTTACCTTAACAAAAATAATAAAAGCAAACATTTTTAATCCTCTCGGCAACCTTATTAGTTCTGTGGTGTTATTATCCCCTTTGTACAGATGAGAAAACTGAAGTTTAGGGAGGACGAGTGGCCTCCCAATAGCAGACAATTGGTAAATGCCACCCTCCTCCCCCCGCCCCGCCCCGCCTCGCCCCAGACTGGCACCAGAATATACTCTTGGTTCTCATTAAGCTTCTAGCCCAGTAAGGGGAGACCCCAAAGTGGAGGGATGAGAAAGGTGTGAGCAGAGGAGCAGCGTCTGGAGAGATGGTGTGCTGCAGCCCAGGATGGGAATGGAGCAAGCTTTCCAAGTTAACAATTTAAGGAGATGATCATCACTAGTTCTCAACACGCAGTGTGACTGAGGAAGCTGGTTAGATCTCTGCGACCTCTTTACTCACAAAAGGAATGGTGCTGGCCTGTCTGTTCAGCATGCGGTTTTTGTTTGTTTGTTTGTTTGTTTGTTTTGTTTTTAATTAAATGTATGAGAAATTGCTGTGCTAATAATGCCCCAGGAATAGCTCAGCAGTTTTGTACTTTCCATGCTCACACCCTCCACAGGGGCTTCTTAGCCCTTCCTAGTGCCAACCAGATCCCTTTGGCCTTTTGCTGCAGCCTGGGAGCCCTTCTCAGAGCAATGTTTGTAAATACATAAAATATATACATATAATTACAAAGAAAACCAATTCTCTTGAAAAGTCTTCTTAGTTACTAGCACACCAAATAACAATATCTAGTGGTGAGTTTAATAAATACTGTTTTAAGTAATGAGGAAGAGAAACACTATTTATAGATATGTGTGACGATTGCTATAAAAATATCTATAAATTATATTGGTAACAAGTGCACAGGCACTACTGATAATGGTGTGGTTTGTCTGCACTCATAAGTGAAGAAAATGCTGAATTTTAGCTAGAGGTTGTGGAAAATAATGGTGTGTTCTTTCTGTTCATCTTTACAGACCCCCTAAATCACTTCTGTACTCCTGAGCCATATGGTTCACTGCTTCAAACTCTTTGAAGAACCCTCCTGGGCTTTTTCCATTCGATTGGACTTCTAAGGAATCTTTACATCAAACTAGGAAAAATTGATACCCTAAAAATATTGAGTCTCCCTATTTGCAGTTATTATAGTCTGCATTTATACAGATTTTCTTTAATGTCATTCAATACAATTTTTATAATAATCCCCATAAAAGTCTTATAAGATTTTGTAAAAGTCATTCTTAGATTGTGTTGTTACTATTTGCTATTCTATTTAATTTATTTTCTAAATGTGGATATAGTTTAAAATACAATCAGTTTTTGGATATTGAGATATACGCTAGCCCAATTACTTTTGGATTTTCTGCCTAGTCAATCATATCATCTGGAAATGATGACAGTTACTATTTTTTTCTTCAATTTTCATTTAAAAACTTTTTATGTACTAATAAGACTTTCAGTGCAATGTTCAACAGAAGCAGTGATGCCTATTAAAGTGTTCTTTCTGATTTTAAAGGAAATAGTTTTAGTATTTCCCCCACTGAGAAGCAGTGTGCTGGAACCAAGTTTTAGCAGCTAGCAAGAACCAATCGTTAACTTTTCAAGAGTTTTGCAATCAAATTGTTAAAATACAGCCATTATTAAAAATTAAATTATATAAGCTTATAATTAAGTAAATTAAAAACAAAAGTAATAAATCCTGAAAACTCACCACTTCTTTATTTTATGGCCTCTCACTATTATCTGTGCCGTTGAGGTTATTCACATACCTTGTATCTGCATGGTGAAAATACTGTGTAATGTGATGTGTACATCTCTCTTTCCAGCTCCATGGCCAGTGACATGCTGATAGCGTTGAACTGACCATGGTAGGAGTATTTACATGGAAAGTGGCAAATTCTACCAATGTGGGTTTTTATCTTTCTTAAAATCCTGTTGATAAACATTTGCTAGCACACCTGAGATCAAAACTGATGTTTACTCCAGGTTCTAGCATTTCCTAGCAGGTTCACTAACAAGAAAGAAAAGAAGGAAGGAAAGAAGGGAGGGTGGGAGGGAACAAAGGAGGGAGGAAGAGAGGAGGGAGGAAAAGAGGAGGGAGAAAGAGAAGAGGATAGAAACGTTTTTGAGCAGTGTGCTAACCAGAGAGTGGATTTTTCCCTGCAGATGACTGTCATACCCCACTGGCATCCACCTTGCCTCGTGCGTCCTTCAGCAGCTCGTCAGAGCTGTCCAGCAGCCACGGCCCTGGGTTCGCAAGTCTCAATCGCAGAGATGGTGAGCCTGCTACTGTTCCCTTGTTAATCCACCATGATTCTCTCTCAGAGAGAATAGTTTTCATTCTCAGTTAATATTCTTGGTTAATATAATTATATTGAATTCAATGACATTGAAGAAAGTATGTTCATCATACTATTTGCTCGCTTTCTTCTTCTTTATCATTTTTTTCATTGTTTTGATATCTCCCTTCTCTATTGGTTGTCAGCAAATGATCATAAGTGAGATTCAAATCAGAAGAGAGTTACTGGAGTTAGATGATTTCCCATTTTATCCTCCCTATTTAAATAGTTTTAGAACAGGCTATGGAATGGTGACTGGTGAGATGTGCTGGCCATGAATAAGTAAAACAGCAAATGAATCAGCCAGTGTCACAGCCACTGGCAGAAAACTAACCAGCCACTGATGGCATCTGTGAGTTATGAGGCTGCAGTGGGATATGATGGGAAAACAACTCCATCCCAGGACGTGGCCTGGGAGGAAATAAGGCAAAGGCATGATTATATACATACACTTAACACTCAAATGTTTCACTACATTTTAAGGGATAGATTACTTCTTTATGAGAGATTAATTCAGAAAGTAAAATGTCAAATTAACCGTGTCCTGTTTAAGTTCACTGTTGTAAATTCTGCTTACTCACTATGGAAATGAGTGTTTTTCTCCCTTAATTTGGTATTTCTCAGATTGGAGTTCAAGGATAGCTTGAATTTTACTGTGCCCTTAAAAATCAAATGGGGAGCCTAGTAAGTGATCAAATAAATTGGTAGGCAAGAGTAAGAACAAGTGAAGAAATTCAGTGAGCTTGGAGGGAGAGCATGTCCATTAATTATCCACCCTCGTGGCCTTTTACCTTAAAGGAGCATTTTATGGCCTGATATTTACTCCTCTAAGCATCATGCATGATCATTTTTAGCACCCCAGTAAAAATATCTTCTTATTGAAACCAAATTTCAATTAACAAATTATCAAATTAACTATTTTTGATGTGGTGGTTACTCTAATATCAGCTTAACATATAACTTTCCCATGGTTGCCCAAAGCTTGTAAAAACTAAGTAAGCACCATATTTAGTTAGTTAAAGAAGCACAAGTGGCTTGTATTGTGTTTCTGATATCATGTTCAGAATATCCCTATTATTCAGGCCTCTAGTGCTGTCAGTCTGATGACACTGAGGTTTATAAACATTAGAAGGAAAAATTCTGAAGTTTAAGATTAACTTATTTCCATTACACTTAATTAAAAAATTAATTATTCAAAATATGATAAGCAGTCATGAAATGGTAAGTATAAAGCTTAGGTTCTGTATTCAGACTACTCTCTGCAAATTTCAATTAAAAAATTTTTTAAGAGAGTGGCAATCAACTGATGAGAGTTATTTTATGGCTGTTGCTACTCTGATTGCATATGATGTGTATTTTGCTAAATATTCCTGGATATGACCACCTGACTTTATACTTATTTCTAAAGCCTGGTTCAAATGGCACAATTTATTAAATATTCCTTCTGAAGGGTTATTGATGTGTATGTTCTGTCAAAAGCCAGCAGCCCAGAGTCTTTCGTGGGATTTCCTTTGTCTTTGTAAATGCTGGAGAACATAGACATATTAGTTCACTGGAGTTTAGAGTATTATAATGTAAAATGTGGATAGTATAAAATACGAATGATTATAATGATGGTGATGATTCTTCATATACAGTAATTTTAACTTTTTCGCAAATTCTGTGTGTTATCTAGTGATGAAAATTATGTTAGACTACTGGATTATATAGTTAAAATTTCCTTGTGCTGTGTTATCATATTTGGAGGTTTTAAAGAAGATGATCTGTTTTACCTTTCTAGTTTCTTATTTTGCCCAGAAGTCATCAAGCTTCCAGAATTTTTAATAAGAATTAGACATGTCTCAGATTATCACAACTTCCACAAGAATTTTATGTATAATAGCTAATGACTGCAGCTACCTGACACATAAAGGTGCTAAGAGAATAGTCTATAATAAGAGTAATTACTGGTGTGTGTGTGTGTGTGTGTGTGTGTGTGTATACAGTTGAGCCACTATATCCTGAAAGCCAAATAATTTCAAATTAAAGGTATTTTATGATTTTAAAGTACTTTACTAATTCTACATGCAGCAAATATTAATTATAATTTATTGTACATTTTGTGTTTTCTATTTTATGTATTTATTTTTTACTTACACATTTTATGCATGTATTTATTTTGTTTTCTATTAATTTATGAGAAATAGTGAAATATTTCTCAGAAAAAACTTAGTGATAAATGGAACGACGTCTACGAAAGGGATGAGTAGAGAAGCTGGGGGAGGTACAGCCATTTCTAGGGATAGGCAGAGCCAAAGAGGAGAGAAACTGTGTTCTGAGAGTCACCACATGTTTGTGTGTTTCCTGGGAGCTCCCTAATGGAAGTACCGCTTACTGTGGAGATAGTAACAGGTTATTATCATCACTCAACACAGGACGAAGTGCTCCCAGAGTTACTTTTTGCACTCTCCAGTCTGGTTCTTCTTGTCTTCTCATTTTGAAGTCTGAGGTTCACACGATGTCATATACATCACCTATTTATACAATAGGAATATAGAATTGCTGAGAAGTTAGCATCCCCAAATGCCTGAACATATAATTTCTCAAAACTCATAGATTTTAAGAAGTAAAACAGAGACACGTTCATTTATTCATATACCTGCTCAAGAAAATTGAAGCCATTAGATAAAAATCTAAAGTTCTTGGAAAATGGGGATGAGGGAGCAGGGGAAGGGGTTAGACAGCATAATAGGTAACTACAACATTGCCACAGGGACATAAAAGACAGTTTTGGGAATATAATTAATAGTGTTGTAAAGATTTTGTAGGGTGTCAGGTGGTCACATGTCTTGTTAGGGAGACCACTTCATGGATGACGCTTGATTACAGCACTGTACACTGGAAGGTGATGTTGTATAATATTATATGTCAACTATAATTGAATATATATGTAGTCACTGGATGTGAAGTATAGTGTGGGAGTGGAGTCAATGGAATTGTAATAGATATGTATGATATTGGGGTCGGGGTGGGGAGTGGGGCAGCAGTTTGGGGGAGGGGGATTGTCACTTTGAGGGGTAAAAGTATAACTATTGCACTGTGTTGTACACCTGAAACCAGTTTAAAAATAAAATTTAAAAATAAATTAAAAAAGACCTCCCCCCAAAAAATAACACATTGAATTTTAATGTAGTTTTTCTTTCTTAAAATGTGTATACATTTTTTAGCACCCTTTGTATATCACTTTTGTTTTAAAACTTGTATACCATTGTAAAATCCTATTAATAAATATTACTAATTATAAAAAGTAAAAAAAAATAAAGTTCTTGGAAAATTGGGTTTGATGGTTCATGGTGGCCAATTTTATCTCCATTAATATTGATATTTCCTAAAATTACAAGTTACCTAATATTTCTCATACAGAATTAAGATTGCTAAAATCTGACTGGATTCTAAATAAGAATATGCTATAATATTGACTTAATTTTTCTCTTCTCAAAAATCTCCTAAAAAACCTTTGTACTCCAAGTTTACCCAGACAGAAAGTTAAAAAACAAAAGCAAAAAACTATCTTATAGTAACCCATGCTGGGTTTTCATTCTACATTTTGCTTGTGAAAATTGCCTTCTGTTTTCATAATTATTATTCTCTAAGTGACCCTTCATCAGGCTGTCTCAGTAGCTTTTCAAATGTTTTTTTCCAACTCTGGATACCATCTTCTCTTCCGTCACGTGATCTGTAAGCGCAGGCGTGGTGCTGAGATGTGGGGTCTTGCCGGAAGATGCCTGAAATTAACTTGGAAAAAGCATCCATGCATTTTTTCCTCTTTGTCGTTCCTCAAAATGCTTGTGTAAACAATCATTCTCAGAGAGAAGGACCACTCTATTCATTTAGCAGATGCTAAAAATCATGGACTCTAATGTGACAAGTCACCTTATCAGTGACAGTGCAAATGAGCTTGCTTTAACTATCAAAAATGACATTTCAGAATGCTGTGTTGTTTATTGCAAACAGAAAGTAGATGGAGACAAGCTGAACTGACCCGACGATTTCTTTTCTGTCTGTAGTTCTCTACCTTTCTCATGTCGAGACATCGAGCGTATTTCCTCAAAACAGACTGTTATCTGGTGGTGGAGCCAGGAGAGGTTGTGTCTAATGCTCCTGATGCAACTGATGGCTGAGCATTTTAGGAACTATTCTCAGCATTAAGATTTATATCTCAATGCAGGAACTATAATTAGTAGTATAAGTTACTACTATAGGATTTAGCAAAATAAAGAAAAATGATTTTAACAGTATGGCCATCAGATATTTAAATGTTTTCTTAAGTATGGACCTCTGATTATTTGGACTCTGCAATATCCCAAATAGGGTATGATATAAAATTCACTGGTTTTCAACAGAGAAATGTTAACAAAATGCATTGAAAGAGTAAATAATAATTTTGGATATCTAAAAGTATGTCAACTCCTGATATAAATCAGAATATTACATCAAAATGCTTGATGCAAGTCTTATAATAGTAAACTTTTCCCTCATGTTTTTAACAAAAATCATAGTTTTTGTATATTCTTATCTTTTAGTCACAGTTCAGGAGCCTGATAGAACTGGCCAGTTTAACTGAACACTAGAACAATTCAAATCACACTTAAGGGCTTGCAAACCAGATTTTGATAAAGGCCTAAGAATATACTGGGAAATCTGTGCCTCTCAGGTTCAGATTTTACTTTCTGTTTATCTCTCTTTCCTAAAAGTTTTTAGACTTACTAGGGCCAATGCACATCCTTTTTTTAAAGCCACCATTTGTTTTGATTTTTTTTTAACCAAACGACCCTGCAGATGCATCCAGATGCTGAGTGCAGTGGACAGGCCACCTTCACAACATGCATGTGAAACGTGGCCACGCAAAGAGCACCATCTGCTCAGGTTCTCCCAAGGCCCTTTGCCAGCTCCCAAGTC